GGGAGGAGGGGGGAGGGGTGCTCTTTAATAAGCAGATGCCCAGGAGTTGCTAATGATGTGTTTGGGCACACTTTTCCTTATTTCCATTAAGCCTCACTGGTGGGAACCCATTCATGGTTCTTTAGGCAATTTCTGGTGTCTGGAGTTTATTTTGATTTTTTTTCACAAGCTGTCAAGACACTCCTACCAGCCTGCCCTTCACCTTCTCGCTTCCCATTCATAGTCATGAGTTAAATCTGGACTCATGGATATTTAGGTTGGCTCGGCACAGATTTTGCACTTGTGTTTTGGGGGATACCACTCTGCTTACAGATTCATAAAACTAATATTCTTTGTCTTCAAAATGAATCTGGTTTCTGTTGAGAGCTGTAGTGAGTAACAGATGCATACCCAAGAGGCAGCACAACTTTTGTATTCCGGTGACAGAAAACAGGTATTTGTAAGAATTGAATAAATGTATTCTGTGGCTCCAGCTTGGAGGCTCAGTAATCCATTTATTTTCCATGTTTTGTGTGCTCTCCAAAGGGTGTCTTGACTTTCTTGCCTCCTTTTTTTTTTTACTTAAATAAGAGTTTTCCATTAAATGGAGTTGTGTTAACACTAATCCGAATCTACGTAATGTTGATACCGGTGTGTTTTCTGCGGTTCAGGCCCTGGTATTAGCGGAGCGAGCAGTGTCTGGGGACGTCACACCTAACTTGATAATGATGGTTTTACCAAGCCCTTACCCTGGCCAGGCCCCTGGGCATTCTACAGATAATTAAAAATTGGATCATAAAAAATTTTAAACACAATGCACCTTAGCAATAAAATTTTTCTCCTTTTAAACATGATTTTCAAACTCATTTTACAAATACATGTCCTTGGCCTGGTGAATTTGCTTTCTCCCCCCCCCCCCCCCCCCCAAGGATTACAGAGAGTGCATAGCAAATTCAGCCTTCAGAATACCCAGGAGCTGAAGACTCAAGAAGGCTACAGCTGTCTTCACCCACTGTATTCTGAAAGAACTAATGAGATGAGAAGTCTGCAGCTGGTGGCAAGCACAATAAACCATGAGCCAAGGCCTTCCCTTCATCAGGGCCTCCCTTCCCCATGGGACCCCAGAGGAGACAGAATACTAACAAAGCCAGCAGGCTGTCTCATTCCACACTATTGCTCATTTGCAGCTATAATTGGTAGCTGAGGTTGCATTCTCTATGCTGAAACTGTCATACATGAAAGAATATATTTGTTTGTTGTGATACGGATATAAATCGGCCAGTTTTCAAATACCAGAAAGACCAAACTAGATACCAAAGAATAAAATGCAGCAAAATAAGATACTCTTCCAACAAATTAAATGTTTGTTACGGAAATACCAAACTGGGGTTGTTAAAACTACACCTGCCTCCTGCTTTGGAATATTTCTTGCTACTTAATTCAGCTGATTAAACATTTACGTGTTCGCACTAACAAAAAAAAAACAAAAAAAAGGCACAAAAAAATTCCTAAGTTTTGACAAGAAGCATTATTCTCAACTGTCAAGGGGAAGGTGCTATTGTTAATAATTGGGTTTTGTTACATTTTCAGTGTATCTTTAATAACTGCTGCTTTATATTCCAGAGAAAAAAGCGGAGAGGGGGGAAAAGACAACGCTTTAGGGATATATGTATATGTAGTATTTTTACATGCATACACTCATTTCTTGTAGGAAAATTCACTTCGGTTTCCGATGCTGCTCCTTTTCTGTGTTTTTGAAATGTGTTTTTGCTTTTCTGGCATTTGTGGACACTCTTTGCCCCTCTCCTGTGTAGTGTCAGGATGCGCCCAGGACAGAGGCTAAGAATAAAAGCCTTGTGTTGAACTCCTGGGTGAGCCATATCATCTCCTTGTTGGACTAAGTGAAGGCTCAAAAATACACTTTGTGGGGCAGTGTATGAGTTAGGTCCAGAGGGAAGTTTTAAAGTGTTATTGCGTGTTCTTCAGTTAATTCATCCATGCCCGACGGGTGTGGGAAACCTGACGTCATCACCCAGGTAGAGCTGGGTTTAGGAAGGAGGGAGCATTGTCCGAGAAGTCCCTGTCACCCATCCACTCACACTGTCCCCTCCACTAGCGCCAAAGTCTTGCTTAGGGCCACCTCCTGGGCGAGGCACCTTCTCCGTGAATTTACCTCCACGTGGAAATAATTTATGCCGGCCACAATTTAGACCAATTTCACTTTTCATAAGTTGGTTGTTTCTTGGTTTATGTATATGTAGTATTTAGTGGGGTTTTTCCTTTAACCCCACTGACACTGTGTACACTCTGTGCTATGGATTTTGGGGTGCGTGTTTTTCTCTGTTGAAATGGACAAGTGTAGGATCCCCAGAAGTACCGGTAATCCTGCAGCCTCCATTAACTTCATCGATTCTACAATTCCTTCCCCCTCATGTTTTATTATATTCGAATCAGGATTCGTCTTCAGTTACAGCATGTTAATTGGCTGAATGCTTTCCTTCTTAATGGAGCACCTCTCTGAAATTTAGGAAATGTGCTATTTTGCTGTTCAACTCACATAAGGCTCTGTAACATTTTAGGTTTTGAAAGAAAAACAAAGACGTGAGCATGATGCCCACAGTGAGGTCACACTCAGTGAAAAGGAAAAAAGGAAGCATTTTCCTTCAAATGTAATGAAACACTAGCCAAGCCTCTGGCCATTGTACAGATAATTAAAATTTAAGCATAAATCATCTTAACACAATGCACCGTAGCAATACGAACTTTCTGCTTTTAAACGTAATTTAAAAAATACATTTTCTTGGCTGGCGTCGGGTGCTTTCAGTTCTGACTAATTCTTCTGCATCCTCTGTTGGCAGCTAGCGGGTCCTCCCTGGCTTTCGGGTGCCTTTCCTTTGTTTGCCTCTCTCTCTCGTCCTCCCAGCTCCACTCTGACCTGCTGGGAGCCAGAACCATGCGCTGGATCTCCTTACCCCTTGCTCTGCTTCTTAGCATCCTGCGCGCTACCTCCTCCCACGGGCTGGCTGATGAAGGAATAGACCTTGATGGAGGGAGATGATGTTAAAAGTGATCATTTGATATGATGTTAAATGGGTTCAATTGTGAAGAAAAGGGTGCTTGTCTCTGGGTTTTAGTCCTAAGCCTCTGACCTAGAAGACAGTCCTGTGGAGTTCCATGATTATCTATGTTAGCTCTGTGCTGAATCCAGGGCTTGGGAAAGCAACCCTGTGCCACTGATTCTCTTCTCAGTCAGCGGTGAGGTTGTTCGTTTTTAGGGTGTGGTTCTAAATAGCGGGTTTCAGAATTCGTGTTCGCCGACGGTACTTGAACTTCTGCTGATGTGCCCAGGCACTCGAAGTGACCCCAGTTGTCCGGCTCACCCCAGTTTGTCATTCCTAGATAATGCTGGCTGACCCAATGCCTGCGGCTACCCCACATAGCATATTTTAAGCAGCAAGACCCTGTGTGGCCTGCTCAGTTTGCTTGCGTAGTAATTTTAGCTGATTGTTGGGCCTTTTTATAGCTTCTTAGGCAACCTTTAAACAGCTTCGGGGTCATGGTCGTACATGTACCCAGCTATCTTTAAAGTGTTGTTTTTGGGGGTTTTTTTTACCTGAACCTCACATTTTTTTCTTCCTCACATTTACAATTTTCTCTTTAGGAATTATGATGTCATAGGCACTTACTGAATAGCTGTTGAGTCTTGTTGTTGTTAATCCTCACCCGAAAATATTTTTTCATTGATTTTTAGAAAGAATGGAAGAGAAAAAGGCAGGTAGAGAGAAACATGGATGTGAGAGAAACTTACGGATTGGTTGCCCTGACCAGGAATCCACTGAGCTACACCGGCCAGGGCTAGCTTTTGAATCTTGAATGGCTGCTTCTCAGCATGTTTTCATTGATTTGTGAAAGTTTGTGTTGCGCTTAGGAATATATTCAGTGCTTATCTCTAGAACAACGATTTGTCATATTGACTTACCTGGCACGTGTGAAGGACTCGGCACCAGAGTTCTGCTTGAGACGGGAGGGCTCTTTCCTTGTAGTATTTTTAATTGACCACTGACCTGTTCACTGTCATTATTACAACTCCTCTACACCTGAGCTTTAGCTCCTCAAAGGTAGTTTTTATATCTTCCTATAGATTGTGCGCTTATATGTGTGTATTGACGACAGAACTTTTGTAAAGCAAACAAGTTTAAAAAGATTTCCTCTGTTCTGTCGGAGAGAGTATATTAAGGAAAATCAAATTTACACACACTAGAGCCTTGCATAAAAGCTAAACGCTAGAGCGGTGCCCCTGAGGGGTCACAAACCCTCCCTTTTCTCTTAAGGCTGTGAGGGTACCTCTTCCAGGAGGAAGGCACAGTATGTGTATCCCATGGCTCTCCGTGGACTAGGGTTTGGAGAGGATAACTTCCTGGTTGAGGCATCCACCAGTATATCAAAATACTGGAACTATAGGAAAATATTAGAAGATTTGTTCTTGGCCGAAACCAGTTTGGCTAGTGTATAGAGCGTCAGCTTGGGAACTGAAGGGTCCCGGGTTCGATTCCGGTCAAGGGCATGTACCTTGGTTGCGGGCATATCCCCAGTGCGGGGTGTGCAGGAGGCAGCTGATCAATGACTTTCTCATCAATGTTTCTAACTCTTATCTCTCTCCCTTCCTCTCTGTACAAAATCAATAAAATATATTTAAAAAAAAAAAAAAGAAGAAGAAGAAGAAGAAGAAGATTTGTTCTTGGAGATAGTTCCAATAAACCAGTAGACAGCTAGTCAAGACTTCTGTTAGCTTTTATGATGTAGTCATGTTGCCTTAAGGTAAACGTTTAAAAACAGAGAGAACCAACATGAAAACTTGATGTCCTATAGAAGTGTTCTCCTACTTCTATTTTATACAGAAGCACAATAAGCCTAATGCGTTGCCGTCGTGTGTATCAGTAGCTGCAACGCGCCGTTCTGACAACGTGAAAGAATGTTCTCTGGTTTTCTTCTCCGCTTCTGATTCTGTTTTTGCTTTGCAGGACTACAAAGCGGACGAAGACCCAGCATTGTTCCAGTCCGCCAAGACTAAGCGAGGCCCTCTGGGGCCCAACTGGAAGGTACTGGCTACTGACCTTTCTGACAGGCAGAGTCTTGGCAGCAGAACGCTTGACAGGGCTCGAGTCTGGAGGAGCTGATGACGTTCGAGTGAAAAATAGAAATGGCACCAAAATAGTTTTATTTGCGATAAGGACTCACAGCCAGTTGCAGTTGGCCAGCAAGTCTGTGTTGCATTAACCAGGAGAACAGAGACAGGCTGTCACTTTCGGCATAATGCTATTCTGATAGCTCTTAAGAGAGACAAGTGAGTGAGTCGTTGGGGATTGTATTGTTCTCTTTTGAGACCTGAAGCAGTACAAAAAAATCCATGTGAAGTGGGCGTTTCTCGTTTAAATTTAGTCTGAGTAAAAACGGTACATGCTCCCTTCACCCAAGCGTATGCTCCTGGCCTTTTAATCGTTATATTTTGGAAAGCAGGGCACCAGAGAACAATGGCGATGGCAAGGCGTTGCTTTCTAATAAAGAGCATATCTTTATTTTATTCGGGGAAGAAAGAAAAGCAATGTCCAGGTAATCAGTTAAAGTGCTGTGGAAATATAATGCATTTTAGAGACGTTTGTTAAACTAAATGATAAACCTTTACAGAAGGCTTACTGTGTTGATGGCAAGTTATTATAGCTATTTTGACAGGAGAAGAGGAGCTTAGAAACTTAAACCTGCCCCGAGCAGATTTCCCACCACCAGGATTTTACTTAGGAACGAATCTGTCTGGGTGCTAGTTGTTGCTTGCAGGGAGAGGATTAGTGTAACAGCCCCACAAGTAAGCCATGGCGTGGTTCTGCACAGGCGTCAGTCTGTTTTGTAGAGTGTCTTGCGTGTCAATTAAAATGAAGAATGAGTCTGACTTTCTTCACTAAGAAAATGATTCATAATTATCTTATTTTCACATTTGTTCTCTGGGTAGAGTTCAAGTCCAGATTCTCCTAGTTTAATGGCCATGACTAGAGACATTTAACTTAATATCCGGGAAGTGATATATGCCATTTCCAAATCAAGGGACAAATTTAGTGTGCATGATCTAAATTTACTCGAATGGGTTTTTAAAAAAAAATCCCAACCCTTACCCAGATTTCTAGCTGGGCCTTCAGAGGAATCTTAAGCGATTTAACATTGGCCTTCTTAGAGAGAGTGTTGGGCTAGGCAGCAGGCAGTGGACAGCATCTAAGGTTGCCGTGTATTCTAGAAGGCCATTCTGCTCCAATAAGTAATAACTCTCCAGTTGACAGGACTTTTACAGGGAACGAAGGGCACCGGTTGAGACTTAAGAGGTGAATTAAATACTGAATTTTCTTCCAGTTATCCATTTTTTAATGTAAACTTGAAAAACATTGCTATATTACAGCTATTGTGTTTAGGCTCAAGTGTTGGCTGAAGGAACGCCTAACCAATTTTATTACAGGCACAACGATCGTTTGACACTATGACTTGACCTAATTTCCAAACTTTTAGGAACTTGGAGTACAATGTTTATTCCCTCTTTGTTTGCAATTTTTACCTTTGTAACTAGCACTGATTTGTCTTTATCAATTACGACTATTTAAAATTCTAGAATAGCTTTAGTTTTTAGAAAAAAATGTGAACTTTACGTTGTTTCCGGTTGTAATATCGCAGTCTTTTCCCCCATTGTGTGTGCATATTTATTTAACAATAGCTTATTATTCCTCTGGGAGAGTGCTGGCTGATGGTTATACCTTTCTACCCATTTGCCCGTTGGTTGTTAACTTTTGCCAAAGGATGGTGGATGTAGCTACTCTGATAAATCGAGTTACTGCTTAACTGAATTTCAGTGAATCACCATGATTAGAAATAACTAGGGTAATCAAGATTGACTAATTAAACCATCTGTTTACTCCTGTGAAGGAAAAATAGAGCAAGAAGGATGACTAGCTGGTAATACAGCATAGAAAACTAAAAACCTGTGGTCTGGCTTGATCTTATCCGTGCTCAGGGGCCCCTACTTGTCAATCAAAACACTCATCTAGGCGCTGAGGTAGCATGGGGAAGGGTGGCGGGTGGAGATTCCTGCCTTCTGAGTATGAGAGGAGGGAAGGAATGCATGGGAGTTACAGCAAAAGGAAGAAGAAATCCTGTCTGGACCCCCTTCCCCAGGACTGAGTGCGAGAGGTAAGTGCTGCCCGGTCGCTCACAGCTTTGAAGACCTTTGATGCCCCTCAGCGGAGCCCCGCCTTACCAGCACAAACTCCCGAGGGCACTCACAGCTAGTGAAACCTCAGGATCCCTGAAAAACGTCCTCTTACTCATCCCACAGCGGTGTTTGCCTTCTGAATCACGGCAGTATTTACCGCTTGTCTGCGCCAGACTGGAAAGGGGAAAAGGAACTTTTCCCTGGTGCCAGGCACTGTACAAGGTCGTATTTAATCTCCACAGCCTTCCTGTGGGGTAGGGACAACTGCCTCATTTCATAGATCGGAAACAGGCCAGGGAAACACGGGTGGCAGCTGTAGAAGAAACTTGATTCCGTGCTTATCCACAGGGGTGTGTGAGGGGTGAATAGGTAGCGAGTTCTGATTCAATCCGGTGTTTGCAGATCACCAGTCTACACCTTGTACGCTTTGTCATATCATGGCTTTTCTGTATTCGTGGTATTTGTCAGAATTTGGTAATTCCTGTTAATACCAGTTATGTGTTCCCAGTGTTCAGGGGATTTGTAGGTGACAATGGCGTTAGGGAGATCCATTAAAAACCCATTTAAGCCGAAACCAGTTTGGCTCAGTGGATAGAGCGTCAGCCTGCGGACTGAAAGGTACCAGGTTCGACTCTGGTCAGGGGCATGTGCCTTGGTTGCGGGCACATCCCCACTGGGGGGTGTGCAGGAGGCAGCTGATGGATCTTTCTAACTCTCTATCCCTCTCTATTCCTCTCTGTAAAAAAAAATCAATAAAATATATTTAAGGGAAAAAAAAGAAAAGAATACAGGCCTTTTAATTTTAGCCTAAATATGATGCATCCTTTTATTTTTTTAAATTTTTTTAAAAAAATATATTTTATTGATTTTGTACAGAGAGGAAGGGAGAGAGATAGAGTTAGAAACATCGATGAGAGAGAGTCATCGATCAGCTGCCTCTTGCACACCCCCTACTGGGGATATGCCCGCAACCAAGATACATGCCCTTGACCGGAATCGAACCCGGGACCCTTCAGTCCCCAAGCCGACGCTCTATCCATTGAGCCAAACCGGTCCCGGCAAAATATGATGCATCCTTTTAATTTTCAAAAACTAAAAACTCAGAGTTGCAGGCTTTCGTTGTGTATTCATTTTCCCTCTGAAAATAAGAGTGTCAAAAAATCTGAGCACATGAATCATATTTTGTTATTTGGGGTTTAACCCTCGATGAAGTGACTCTGTGCATAGTAAAAGGAGAGCCTCTTGTAAACTGTTAGAGATTTTTTGCTTCAGTCCGAATTTTGTGTTTCTGTGGATGCAATGTCTTGCTTCTCTGTAGCACTTCACATGCATGTGTGTGCGTGTTTTGGTTTGTTTATGTTTGGGGGGCTCTGTGTGTGTTGTGGCATTGGTATGACTACTTGTTCTGATGGTTTATGAAAAACAATTTACATGTGGGTTCCTTTAGCTTTCCAGTTTGCCTCCTGATCTGGTGAGGAGGTGTCGTCTTAACAAATTGAAACACCACCTTTGAAGATTATGATGTCATTTTTATCCTATCGCGAGGCCTCATTTCTTCCTTCATTTAATCCAGATGGCTCTGAAGACTTGAGCTTTGGTGTCTACATGTATATGATAGCTAAAAGCTAGGCGTATAAGGGTCTTTGCCAAAACTTCTAGCCCTTACAGCACTTGACATTTCTCAGAAGACTCGGCCAATATCTGAATGTTGGGATATAGGGGATCAGGTCAAATAAAGAAGTTGATCCAGAAATATGTTTTTATTAATCTTTTTATTTTTCGAAAGAGGGATAGAGAAATAGAAACATCCATGAGAGAGGAACATCATCAATCAACTGCCTCCTGCACAGTCCCTATTAGGGACCGAGCCCGCAACCTGAGTATATACCCAGTTTGGGAATCAAACTGGCCACTTCTGGGTTCCTGGGTCAGTGCTTAACCATTGAACCACACTGGCCTGGCGTGACTTTTATCTTTATACAGGGTGGGCAGAAGTAGGTTTACAGTTGTGATATGGGAAAATAGAATTTATTGCATTATTTTTTTTGCTGGTTATTGTAATCATAAAGGCATGTCCCACTTCTCTCCTGCATTAGTTAACTCCAGACAGCAGCAGCCCTGGCAGTTGGGGCTTAGCATTTCAAAACCAGTTTGTCATGCTGTTTACCTGCTCAGTCACGCTTTAGACTCATAATTGCTGGAAAAGTCGTTCTGGATCCTCCTAGCAAGTGGAGGGCAGCCGTGTGTGTGGATTTTAGGAATGCTAATGTGTTTCCTGCCCCACTGTCAGGACTGCTTTCTCTTCCTACCTGTATCTGTATAAAGAAGGCAGTAGCCCTAGTTGTCAGTGACCCACAAGGTTCTGTTGGCTGGTGGTTGTAGAATGAAATGGGAGGGGGCAGAGGAGAGAAGGTAAAACTTAGCTGTGGCAATCTGTTTGAGATTTGGACTAGCAGGGAAGCAGCCCAGAGAGTCCTCAAGAGGCAAATGAGCACTGCCCTTTACTGACAACCTCCCAAGGAACAAGACTGAGGGTGTTCTCCTGTGTCTTCATCTAGACAGGGCTGTGACTCCTAGGAAGGATGTGAAAGCATTTTAAATATATATATATTTTTTTATTGACCATGAAAGCATTTTAAAAGCTGTTCCCTCTCTGTAATCTACATTTGCAATCTGTAGTGTGTGGTATAATGATGTTTAATAATTAGTTTCTGATTAGACCACATCATGGATTATACACACACACACACACACACATATATATACATATATATATATATATATATATATATATATATACATATACATATACATATACATATATATATATAAACTAGAGGCCCGGTGCACAAA